GCTTCTAGAGGTGGTGCTAGACGAGTCCTAGTCAGGAACTCTGAGCTTCCCAGCCCTGCGATCACACACCACTTGAATTCTTATGCTTGAACACTGCATGCTTTGTCTGCTGGGGGCAGGGGGCATGCAGCTGAAGGTCCCTGTGTGATGTTCCTTGTATACCAGGAAGCATCTCAGAGTGAACACGACACAGAGAGTGTATGCCGGCTGCCGAGATGCTCTTCCCAGAATCCTGGTGTACAATGACTTGAGAGAATGCCAGCTGGAAACAATTCCATTCCTTACCTCTTCTAGATGAGACCGGAATGCTGTGTTCTCATTGTATTCTTGGAAACAAATTCTCAGAAACAAAAAGACATCATTTAGCTGCAATTATGCCAAATGTTCCTAAACAGGTGTTGGTGAAGAGATCAGAATCCTCACCCACGTTCCCTGGGAATGTAAAGTGGTGTAGAGACTTGGGAAAAGAGTTTGGCAGTTCCTCAGAATGCTAACCGCAGAGTTAGCACGTGACTCTGTCATGCCACAGCTGGAGACGTGCCCAAGAGACTCGAAGACTTCACGTCTACGCAAAAACCCGCACACAAATGTTCTTGTGTGCTTATCCATACGGGCCAAGTTGGAAGTAAGCACCCATCAACAGATGGCTGAGTAAACAAAATTCAGGGTGTCTGTGCCATAAAGCACTTATCAGATATTTTATATATATAAAAAAAGATGGAGTCCTGATCCACGCTGCAGCATGCGTGAACCTTGAAAACATTATGCCAAGTGAAAGCCGTAGCAATAGGGCACATATTGTGTGATTCAATTTATACTGAAATGTCCAGAATAGATAACTCCATGAAGAGAAAGTAGGTTAGTGGTTGCTAAGAGATTGAGGGGCATGGGAGGGAAAGGATGGCCACTGTTAACGTGCTTCATGCTGCGAGGATGACAGACAGTGGCTTTACAACTCTGTGAATAAACTAAGTAAGTGACCGGGTTATATAGTTTTAAAGTGAAGTTTATGGTTATGTGAATGACATTTCAATGCAATTATTGTGAAAAGCATGAGCTCCCTCTTATTACTCTTATCGAATCTCATATACGTATATAAGGAAATGTGATCGTACCCATACCCGTGTCCCCTCCCGACTCCCTCCACATCCCTGCCCACATTCACCTCCTAACGTCACGCCAGGTCACCCCTGGCTTTCAACAGTGAGCTGGGTTTCCTTGGTTGCGGTGAGACGTGCTCGGCCTCCAGCTAAGCTGAAGATCGGAGCTGGAGACAAACAAGAACAAAGTAATACCAAGCTGCACTTCCACGTTGGGATTTCGTGTTTTCAAACATCCAAGGAAGATCATCCAGAGAATGAATCAGAAAGATAAGAGACTTTTGTGCAATACTGTCACAGATGGTCTGATTTAAACACATTTCGGGTGAGGATAAATACAGAAGCCTGCAGTGTTACAGGATATGAGACCAGATGAGCAATTCTTCTGAGAGAGTGTTTCTTCAGCGTCTATGGGAGCTGACAGGAGGTTAACAGCACCACTGTACCTTAGCTGGGGTGTTTTGAAAGGACGCCTCAACCAGCCCTAAAATCGACATCCCATTCTCTTCGAGAGAACGTAATTTCAAAGAACAACCTATTCTGCACATAGTGTATGTTTGATAAAGGTTTGATGAAAAAATTCATAAAATAATAAGCGTGTGGAGAGGTAAATGTGGCTTGTATAAAAGTGGCATGAACTGAGGCTCAGCCCCACCTGGGTAGCTAGCATCTCCCCTCACTTTATATAAGTATTGAGATTTTAAAGCATTTTAAAAAGCCAAATATCCCAAAGTATGTCAAGCTACGTTTGTTTATGGCATGTGTTCCAAATGGCTCTTTCCTGGGTTCATGATTAATAAGAATAAGAATTTAAACAATAAAAAAATGAGAATAGTATTTCCTGGAAAGTAATTATTTCAGAGTAAAACTTGGTTCTAAGTTGTATCATGTGATTGTAAAATGCTTTTGTTAGAATAAAGGAACTCCAAAATATCAGGAGGCTTTTCATCAATCTTTATTGGTTTTTCTCCCACAAACTCACTGCACCTAGAATTCCACAGAAATAGATAATGTTATGTGCACATCTATGGGTATTTCCTGGTATAGTCTTCTATAAATGTGTGTTGTTTGCCAAGGGCACAGGGAGCTCACTGGAATATTCTCTAATATGACACTTTCCATGGATGGAAATTCCTTTGATATTTTGGGTCATTTCCAAATTCTGGAAACCTCCTTCCTTTTTTTAAATGTGAAAATTTTCTTTATCAGACTGACTTGGTTCACAGGTCTTGACATGTGATAGATGCTACTTAAAGGACTATGAATGCTCTGGCTGCGTTCTTCTGAAGTGACCAGTGGCATGTATTACAGTCAAAGTTGTCCCCTATCAAAATCTCTGACAAAGCCAAGGCTTGAGGATCGTAGTGGACCAATGCTTCAGGTAAACCTGCTGGTGTTGGAAGGTTGCAGAAACTCTTGGCTTGTGTCTTTCTGTAGATTTGCACACTCTGAGGTTAGCATGGAGTGAGAACAGAGGAATGTTCTTAAATTCGAGTAGGAATATGTCACAAAGCTGGTTACTCTCACTTTGCCTTATAAGTAGAAGATATGTTCTCAACCCAGAGTCTAGACTCTCTAGACTTGACTGGCAAGCAGCGTCTTCCTCCATTTTTTGGCCCTCTTCACCACAACTTTTAATGAATGAGGAAAACTTCATCACCCACCTTCTCGACCCTGAGCCCATGAATGCTGCTCTCGATGCTTCTAGGTGGCAAAATTCTCTAAACTAATCCTCTTTCTGCAACTTCACTGCCTCTTTCTGCTTCCGGGTATCTTGACCACTTCAAAGTCTTACTACCCATTCGTTTACCCAAACGGTGAGATGGCTTCATCCATGACAGGGCTTCCGAACCCTACACATTTAAAACCCTGCTCCGTACTCTTCACGTTTATCACCTGTCTTGGACATGTGGCCAGCCCATTTACAACTTTGTTTTGAAGCTAATGTGTGTGTGTGTGTGTGTGTGTGTGTGTGTGTGTGTGTGTGTGTGTGTGCGCGCGCGTGCACGCGCCAGGGGCTGGGTTATGAATCCTGGGAGATCAGCGAGTACTCTGATTGATAATTGCAAGGTATTCCACACGTGGTAAACTTGCAATAAACGTCTGTTGACTGAATGAGGGAGTGAGGAGAGATTAAAGCTGAGTCAATTGCTCATCTGAAAGGAGCCTCAATGGTGAATGATTAAACTGGGTGTGGTGACTTCCCAGATCTCTTCCTTGGACTTGCCTGTGTTTTGGAAGCTGAGGCGCCGCGGTCACCGAGTAATCAGACATATGGACATCCTCCCCTGAACTGCTCTGGGAGGAAGGACTTTGATCACCATACACAGTGTTCAGAGGAACGTGGCTGTGTGGAGAGCCCTGGCTTTTCATTCTGTGCACTGTCCCTGTCACTCTTCGGTCCCCAAAGACATATCTCCTTCTAAAAAGTGTAGAATTTCTCTCCGGAATCTATCCATGTAGCCCAAGACAGTTCTGTTTACCTTGAGTGACAATGAGCTTGCTCTTGCAATTGAGACTTTAGTTTTGGCTCCCCCCACAACCTCGCCCCTCTCCCTTGCAGCAAAAGGTGGAAGTGAGAGAGAAGGATTCCAGCAGAGACCTGGGTACCTTCTCTCAATGGGCTGTTTTCAAAGGTTCCAGCGCAGGCCCTTCAGGTACCAAGGGTCAGAGGCAGTCCAAACAAATGCTTGACAATAATAGGTACAAAGGACTCCTGTCCTTGGTGAATGGTTAACCATTAGCTATCATAAACAAAAAATGTCCCATACATCCGATAAACAGCCTCGTAGAAGAACGCAGAGCACACAGAAAGAAACCACATCCTTCAAATTTGAGTCAACAGCAGACAGTACCTGAGGGGCTTTTACTTTTGAGGGGTTTTCATTAATCATGTTGATGGACATCCCGCCTGATATCTTGGACCTGGTGACATGCTTGTATCATAATGAAAATGTATACTCAGCCCCCTGTGTTTCTCTGTTCCTGTCGCCATCCGGTAGCTATTTCATGCGGGTTCATCCCCAGAAGCCACAGTGTTGGGATGCCTCATGCTCCCTCTCCCCTTCCTTCACCTCCACTTTCTCTTACTCTAAGGAAGAGAGCAGCTAGCTCTGACACTCGCTGGGACAGGAGGACTGTGAAGCCTTGAGAAGAAAACAAACAAATAAAACAAAGCCAAAACAGTTTGCTGTGTTTTCAGAGAAGCCTAAGAATAAAAGTGTGACTATATAAAAAAACACAACAAAACAAAACACAAAGACGCCATCCCACATTTGGCTGGAATGTAGGTAGGTGCATGTGATCACTGAGTGGCCAAGTTGGAAGATTATTCAAATATTTTCCAGCATTTTAGAGATTCTATTGAGGATTTGCTTTGCAAGTGGTGTGAGAAATGATTTTCTTCTCTAGGTTCTGAGTCAACGAAGGCACCAGCAGAATTAGCATGGTTCTTGTGTAGAGGGGAGTATTTAGCCTTGCAGCTCTGGTTGGAATGAAGCTTGTAGACCGGTCAGAGCCAGAGCAGACCTCAGGGACTTAGGCAAATTATCATAAAAATGAGAACGAATTGGACATGTCATAATTGGTATGCTCGGCTGTCATGGGTCAACACAGATCCCGGAGAGGAACTGGTCACTAGGAAGACAAAGTCAGAATTTGGCTACAGAGATGGGTCAGTGGCTAAGAGGTTTGAGCTTTGGTTCCCAACACCCATGCAGGGCAGTTTACAACCTCCTGTAACTCCAGCTCTAGGAGATTAGATGCCCTCTTCTGGGATCCTTGGGCACCTGCATTCACACACACACACACACACACACACACACACACACTAAAATTAAGAAGAAGTCAGGAGTCTCTTCTATTTGTTCTCCAATACCTCCTTTCTCAACTTTGTTACAGTGTCAAATGTCGGCAACAACACAACACAACATGTGGACCCAGAATATTAAAGTCATGCAGGGCCAGGGGCATCGCTGGAGACCAGGAAGGAAAAGGGCTGACAAGACAGAGTGTACGCAATGCCAGCCATATATGTCTTCTGAAGCACAACCTGAGGAAGTTTCCTGTTATGGCTGCCTTGCAGGACACAGGTGAATCTGCTGGACCCCATGTGCTGCGCTGCTCCGGCTGAACCAGACTCCGGGCTTACCGTCTGCTGCCTTGGGGACTCTGCTCGATGCCAGTGTGGAGTATGGAGACCAAAACCACAGCCTTGAGAGGATATCACATCACACATTCTGTGGTTCTGTCACCACACAGTGTTAGCTCCAGGAGAACTGCTGCATGACTCCAGGACTCCTTGTTGGAGAGAACCCCTGCCTCAGAAGTGTCAGTGTTAAGCAATGGTTAAAGGCTGTATGTAAGTCACCAAGTACTGGCTCAGGGTATACCAAGAATACTGTGACAAAGTGCTGTAGCACGAATCCTAATTGGCTTTAATAATAACCTGGAGTCAGATATCAGGGTAAATGCTGAAAGATCAGTAAAGGAGCCAGTCACTAGAGAGACTTCTTACCTCTACGGAATCCTCAGCCTGAAAGGGGGCTGAGCCCCTGCCTCCTCCCACCTTATATTTCTCTCTCTGCCCAGCCATATCACTTCCTGTCTCTCTCTCTCTAGTGCTGGGCTTAAAGGCATGAGATCCCAAGTGCTGGGATCAAATGTGTGAGCCACCACTGCCTGGCTGTTTCTCTTTTAGACTGGATCAATCTTGTGTAGCCCAGGGTGGCCTTGAACTCCTGATCTTCCTGCTTCCTCCTTACAAATGCTGGGATGAAAGGTGTGTGCCACCACTGCCTGGCCTCTAGCTCTGCACTCTGATCTCCAGGTGAGCTTTATTTGTGAGAGCACAAACAAAATATCACCATAAAGTACTTTCCTTCAGAAAGCTTGGACAAACAGAGGTGACCCTGTCCTTACTGTTCAGAAAGGTATCCCTGTGACTCAACCTTTGGAGTGTGCCACTGTCTCAACCCACACAAGAGGACAGGGTTCTGAAGGGGCTTCCCTGTCTGCTCTTCAGCTAGTGCGTTGGCCACATTTTCAACTGTCCCCACAAGTTTGTGTCTCTTCTCATCACTGTTTTTACATTTAACATTTAAACCAGACACTTAATTGTTACCATTTTGATTTTGTTATTTTTAAGGGATCTCTCTCTCCTCTCTCTCTCTCTCTCTCTCTCTCTCTCTCTCTCTCTCTCTCTCTCCCTCTTCCCCCACTCTCTGTGTGTATCTGTTTATCATACTGTTAAACAAGCTCGTGACTTACTATTTTTTTAAACGTATGCCCCCCCATCTTAAATGTTCATCAGCCATGCTTTTATTTTTCTAATTGACAGTGGTTCCGGGAGTAAGTATGTCATCAGCTCTTGCTGTAGATGGAGCAGAATCCTGGCATCCCTGACTGTACTGACTTTCTGTGGTGTTCACCGTTACCCTTTTACACTAAACACAGCAACTCAAGGCAGTTGTGAGAGAAACCTGAGTTTACCAGGACACAAGGACAAAGGCCAGATTCCAGCCCAGATAAGGTCGGTTCTAGAACCTCCCTTGCACTCTGCTGTACCTTTCTGCTCCTCTGTTCTCTGAGCTTGGCTACAAAGTCCTTTACCATCTTTAATCTGTAACTCCAGCTCTCCGAGTGGGTGACTTGTGGCAGTGTTTCAGAGACCCTCCTCTTCTCACATTGCACGGAATGCATGCCACACAGCAAAACTGAGAGTGGCTGGCTGTGTCTGGTACTGTCTGCTGCTTTTTCTTCACCTGAGTCAGAAATGTGCCTTGCCATCCCGGTCCACTCTGAAACCCTCCTCCTGTCCTCAGAAGCCCTCTAATCACCTTCTGGATGCCTTCGACACCTGGTAGCTTGGGAAAGACTTTGCATCTTGGTCCCTGCCTCCCACAATTCCTCTTTCCTCTTTCTCTAGTTCACTCGTTTTTCCACCCCCTGGGGAAGTGGATCATCCATGTGTCTGTCAGCCTATATACATTTGCTGCCCATAGTGGGTCTGTCTGTCCTGCACTTGAGATGTCCACTCACACCAACCTGCCCACAGTGGGTCTGTCCACCCTGCCCCTGAGGTGTCCACTCACACCAACCTGCCCACAGTGGATCTGTCCACCTGCACCTGAGACGTCCACTCACGCACACCAACCTGCCCACAGTGGGTCTGTCCACCTGCACCTGAGACGTCCACTCACACACACCAACCTGCCCACAGTGGGTCTGTCCACCCTGCCCCTGAGGTGTCCACTCACACCAACCTGCCCACAGTGGGTCTGTCCACCCTGCCCCTGAGGTGTCTACTCACACCAACCTGTCCACAGTGGGTCTGTCCACCCTGCCCCTGAGGTGTCTACTCACACCAACCTGCCCACAGTGGGTCTGTCCACCTGCACCTGAGACGTCCACTCACACCACATGCTCTAACTCCCCCACCAGCCATGTCACTGTATGAAATGAGAGCTGGAGGGGTGCATGATGTGAGCTTTGGAAACAGAAAGAGATCTCACCTGCTTCCAAATGTTCGCACTGAGATTATGCCATTCTCAACTTAGGGCACACATGTGTTCCTGCTCTTTATTAGCCCTGCTCCTATACAGACTCTGGTCTGCGTCTGGGGAGATATTCTGTCCGTGCATGAATACGGTCAGCTTAACAGACTAAATATGTAGATCTTTTTTCCCATCAAATAAAAGATGCCACTGCCTTACAAGTTGTTCTTAACTATCAAGGGTATAATAACTCATCTATTTTTTTTTTTTAACTTGAGATTGTCTAAGTTTGTTAGATCTCTTTTGGGACTGTACCTACATACCTGGGTCTGCATTTATGTCAATGAGTGACTCTGGGAGGGAAAAAACTCACCCTGAATGAATGAAACACAGGCTCTGATTTACCTCATAGGAAAGCTCAGAAGAAAGTTAAATGTAGTAATAATAACAACAACAACAACAACAATAATAATAAATCTCAAACAAATGAGCAGCAAGAGGTACTAGCTCAGCTTTGTGTGAACTGTGTTCATCCTGGCTTTTTATCTCTATAGTGTGCACAGGTGTCCCATCAGGGACTGCGCATTGGGCAGATATCGTATCTTACAAGAGTCAGCTGAAGAGGAAAGTTGGAGGGATGTGGAAAGAAATTGGGACACTCAGTTTTCTCGGTAAATAATGCTGGTTCTCCTGAAGAACTCATGACTGGTCAAAGTGCAGAGAATGAGTGACCGTGGAGTGTTCGGCTCTCAACGGAACGTCCACATCACTTCCCTCCCCTCACAGGCTCTGGGAACAGTGTGAGAAGAGAGGTCAGGACAGAGTCTTCTGGACCTCACACGGCCGGCCGGCCGGGGAACTCTGAACTCGGAGCAGCTGCTGTTGCCCGCACGCAGATCAAGCCGGTCGACAGAGATGCAGAGCGGCTCCTGAGTCCTGCTTCTAGCTGTGGAGATTTTGCCAGTTGCTGGAGAGTTTTCTTCAGGGGTGTGGGCTCTAGTAGGGCGCCCATCCTCCATGGATAGCTCCACAGCCCTGCAGTGATGGGCCGCACTAACTGGAGTCAGTGTTTTCTTGTTGTTTTGTTTTTTAATGGAAGACAAGAAGTCGTGGAAGGCAGATGTGGCAGGGAAGGGGACCCACACGGTTCAGATACATTGAATATGTAGCAAATCCTCAAATAATAAAATAACTTTATGTGGTTAATTTTTAATGAAATAATTTTATATTAAGAATACACAATGCAACAGCAGGAGCCCCTCTCCTGTTTCAAAAACTGTCGCTTCCCTCCCCCTCCCCTTCTGAGCCATGGAACCTGGCACACTCTCTCCGCACGAACTAACTGCACTTGGATCTGAGCATCCCATTGGAAAGCCTACATGCCCTGCCGCCATCCGGATGGAGGCTCCGTTTTCAGGATCCCTCCTGCACCTTTCTCACCAAGTCCCAGCCGAAGGAAGTCCTGGCCAGGGACGTTATTCCAGTGTGGTGTTCCTTGCGACTCTAACTGACCAAGTCCCATCCCTTTCACTGTGGGGAAGAACCCAGTGTCCCTAGCTTGACATTTGCAGAAGGGCATGCTCCAGTCTCCGCCCCAGACAGACCCGAGACACAGGCCAGGAGGCAGCCTTGGCTTGACCAGCACAGGTTCACACAGGAGCAGGAACCCTTACCTGGGCTGCTGACATTCTGGATGTCTGCCACCTTCGATGCTGGCCACCGAGGAGAGAGAGGTAAAGGCTAGTGCTTGTTATTGTTGAAGGGGATCCAGATATTGAGCAGAACTGGAAGGGCCTTTCCCTTTCCCTCCTGTAACAGGCCATTACAGAAACACAAACTGTGGTGACTTGTGAATGGCAAGTTACCCTTTCCAGACCTGATTACCCAGGAAGTGGCCTCCAGAGGAGTTGGAATCATCCAAAACCAACACCTAGTGTCAGAAACGTCACAAAGCTTTGTTTATATTTCACGAACCAATGGTTGAATCCTATTCTGGTTAAGTGAGACGTATAGGTCTCCCAGCTTCAGGCATAGGAAAGGTGACGGCATGGACTCTGGTGCATGCGTGGGACAGGCGTGGCTAGGCGTGGCTAGGCGTGGCTGCATCTTTCTGGGGAAGCACCTAACAGCTCAGGGCAGTGCAAGTATGGAATGGGTGTCCCTTGGGCATGTCACAGCCAGTATTTGCAGGCCTTACGTTTTTCATGGTGACTCCGATTCTCACAGCGTAGGCAGCAAATCCACCTTTTCCCCATTTGATTTGGTTCTAGAGTGAAGCATAGTGTATCCATGGTGGTGTTCGTGTTGGGAGAGCAAATGGAATGCACTCGAACCTAGGACAGCAGGCTACATGCAGGCAGAGGACATCCATCAAAGGAGAGAAGTCACAAAGGAGGTCTCACTGAGCCTTTGCTCTTTAGCAGGTCGTCCAATCGGCCTTCCCTCTGGCCAAACCGCCTTCCCGTCCTGGCTTTGTTGCCTGCCAAGCTCTTGTGTTCTTTGTAGTCCGCTGTGTGGTTCCCACACAGGAACCTTGTCCCGTCCCTGAGGAAGAGCAGGCTCCTCCAAAGGGAAAAATCGCCTGATCATATGCAAATAGGGCCGTGTTCCTTTAAGGAGATACTGGGAGTGCTTTGTGGCCATCAGGGCCCTGGTCAGGATGGGGTGTCCAGTCTGAGACTCTTAGAAAAGATACTCAGCAGAGTCAGATGGGGCTGTGTGCCCATCCCCAAGGGGAGATGAAGGTCTACCCTACCTGATGTGTTTAAAACTGCCACAGAACATGGATAGAGAAACAAGCCCACAGCAGCCGGGTCCACATATGGGCCTCACTAATTGGACTCAGTGGGGGTTATTTAAAAAAAAAATGAGGATGGGATTTGTGAACATACCTCAGTACTCAGTATTTAGGACTTAATTCCTTCAGACCCTGCTCCCCTCCTGGTAACTAAATGCGTGTTCTCCTGTCTGGGCACAGCCAGGCAGCTGTGGCTGTGGTAGGTCAGGACTGGAGACAGACAGACAGACAGACAGCAGGCGGTGATGGAGCTGTGGTGGGGAGAGGTGGAGTCCCGTGTTAGATATTCCTTTACCTGGTACTGTGCACAGCACCTAAGAAGACTGCATGGACTTAGATACACACCGAAGTGGTTGAGCTTAGTCTTCCAGTTGTTAGCTGGCTATGTTTCCTACCTTTCCACGTGTGTTGGTTCTCTAGAGAGGCAGAACCATCCCTACCCCACACACATTGACACGTGCATACACTCACACAGACACACAGTCACGCACACACGTGTATACACTCACATGCACACTCACACTTGTATACACACACTCACACACATACTCCTACATACACATGCATACACTCACACATGCACCCACACTCACTTACACATGTACCCTCACACTTGCATACACATTTTCACACATACATATACTCACATGCATAACGCACTCATGTGCACACAGTAACACAAATACATGCATCCACTCACATGTGTATTAAAACATTCACACACACGTACACTCATGTACATACATGTATACACTCATACATGTTCACATACATACTCACACAAACATGCACACACATACACTCAGACATTCACACTCACACTTGTGCACACTCACACACACAGAGGACAGCACATTTGCTGGGCAGTGAGCTTTCCCACATGATGAACCTTGCATATTCTCAGGGGAGGCCAGGCTTGTTTCAGGAAGAGTGTGGGGCCTCTCCCCTGCTGGAAGTCAGAGTTCTTCATCTGAGAGAACATCTGCATGGAGGAATACACACATCTACACACCGCACATACATAACACACACACACACACACACACACACACCCCACTCATACATATACTTTCTCACACACCACACTTATACACATATACACATACAAACACCACAGTACACACACACCACACACATACACACACATACAGACAGACACATACACACACATATGGATGGTCACATACAACATATGGACATGAACCTCAACTGAGAAATGAAAGAGAAAGCAAAGACTGAAAGTACCCTGGGATCTCTCTGGCTCCCCCAGTCAATTTTCAGGAAAATAGAAAATGTGAGTGAGAGTTTGATTTCAAACCCAAGGGAAGATCCTATCGTTACCAAATTCTAGCATGTTCTGTGAGAGCTGTCAGTTAGGTAGACTTCTGAACTGAGGCTCAGCACATCTTCCGTTTAGATGGAGAGCAGCTTGCTGCCTTAGAATCCTCACCTCTGCCTGTGTCTCATGCTAGAGAAATCAATGGCTTTCCTACTTCAAAGGCAGAGCCGTTCCCAGGAGCCGAAACCTCTGGGTGGAAAACAGAGAGGACGAGAGGTGGACACGTAGGTGTGCTGATTACCAGGCGGCAGGCAGCGGTAGGGGATACTACCTGATAGACACCATGTCAATCAACTGTGACAATCAATTCAAGCTCCACCCACCAGAGAGCCAGCTTCTCCAGCTGGGTTCTGCCTCCTGAAGGTTCCGTGGCTCCCCAATACAGTGCTAGGAGGTGGGGACCATGTTTTCACACACACGAGCCAGTGGAAGACATTGTGGCTATCAGGCCTACCCAATATTTCAAATAAACACAGTAGAATGTACTAAAAAGGAATTTGAATGAAAAGCTTGATTTGACATATATCAGACAGACTTGACAATAAGTATCTCAATATAATACTCAATCATGAAGCCATTTATTATGTGAATTGATTGTCACCACAATTGCACACCAGATGTGCCCTGGATATCACTATCTGGGTGCTGCACTATCTCCATACAAGGTCCACACATGCAGAATTAGGGTGCTGTGCGGGAACATGTGTCTTGTCTCCTAGTGACCTTCAGCAAGGGCTGAGCAGCCTTAGGGTTTCTCTGCTAGAGAGAGGAAAGAGTTCGTGTTCTCTGGAGAGAGGGAGAAGACCAGACAGACAGACGGACTGGAGAAAATGGAGGGACATATTGGAGGGACAGATGGACCAACTGATGAGTCAGATAGATGATTGATAGATGACAGATGAATATGTTAGATATATGACAAGCAGGTTGGTAGATAGTCAAGGGACAGAGAGATTAGATAGATGACAGGTGGACAGGTAGACTCACAGGCAGGTGAACATATTTGTTGGGGGGTGCATTGGCTCATGCAGTTATGAAGGAAAGAAATCCCACCTAGGGCAATCTGTGAGCTGCAGATCCTGGGCTGTCAGTGGAAGGGCTCACTCTCATTCTGCATGCCTTTGAGCTAGGGAAGCAGACACTATAATTTTTAGTCCTTGGGCAGAAAAGCATCTCAGCAGCAGGAAGAAGAAACCCTCTTTCCTGGCTTTTTGTCTTACCCTCCTGTACTGGCTGGTTTGTGTGTCAACTGGGCATAAGCTGGAGTCATCAGAGGAAGGAGCCTCAGTTGAGGAAATGCCTCCATAAGATCCAGCTGTGAGACATTTTCTCCATTAGTGATCAGTGTGTGCACTGTACTGCCTCAGATTCCAGTGTGCAGGGCCTGCAGGTGTGTTTGCACTGCACTACCTCAGACTCCAGTGTGCAGGGACTGCAGGTGTGTGTCACTGCACTGCCTCAGACTCCAGTGTGCAGGGACTGCAGGTGTGTACACTGCACTGCCTCAGACTCCAGTGTGCAGGGACTGCAGGTGTGTTCCACTGCACTGCCTCAGACTCCAGTGTGCAGGGACTGCAGGTGTGTGTCACTGCACTGCCTCAGACTCCGGTGTGCAGGGACTGCAGGTATGTGCACCGCACTGCCTCAGACTCCAGTGTGCAGTAACTGCAGGTGTGTGTCACTGCAGTGCTTCAGACTCCAGTGTGCAGTGACTGAAGGTGTGTACACTGCACTGCCTCAGACTCCAGTGTGCAGGGACTGCAAGTGTGTGTCACTGCACTGCCTCAGACTCCAGTGTGCAGGGACTGCAGGTGTGTGTCACTGCACTGCCTCAGACTCCAGTGTGCAGGGACTGCCTGCAGGTGTGTGCACTGCACTGCCTCAGACTCCAGTGTGCAGGGACTGCAGGTGTGTTCCACTGCACTGCCTCAGACTCCAGTGTGCAGGGACTGCAGGTGTGTTCCGCTGCACTGCCTCAGACTCCAGTGTGCAGGGACTACAGGTGTGTGTCACTGCACTGCCTCAGACTCCAGTGTGCAGGGACTGCCTGCAGGTGTGTGCACTGCACTG